ATGAAAAATAGACATAAAAATGTATTGCGTCAACAAATATATATAATTCTGGTTTATTCAGTTTGTTTGGTGAGACAGAAACATACGTTTCATACATTTCATATTTGAGGGGTACAATCCGGATGATGAGATACCGCGCCGAATTTGCCTACAAGATTACAATTGGCAGAATCAATTCTTTGTGACGCCTCTCGCCATTCTGCGCGGGTCCGTTACGCGATTACAATTAGTTGCAGTCCCCCTATTCCCTGATTACATCGGTACGAAGCTTGAGGACAATCGGCACATTGTTAGCATCGGCGTGCATAAGCTGCTTTGACCACAAGGCTAAACTTTGTTACTTTCTGTAATATGAAATGTTTCATATTATTACTGATAGTTATAAATATTATCTAATCAGTAATATATAATAATAGAATAATAACATTAATAATAAGATGAATAATAATAAATAACATTAACGATGCAACTAATTATAATTGACGTTGTAAAAGAAAAAAAAAGAGAAAATAAATATTATTACATTTTTATATTTTATACACACAGTTCATATTTCCATTTTCGTCTTTTTGTAATTGTACAGCACGCAATGAATTGCAGCCTACTATGACTAATCGCTCGAAAGATGTCACTTTCTATCATAACCGAAATATTCATGTGTTCGGAGAATAGTCTACTTGAGAATAGTCTGCTTGTCGCAAGAAAAGCGTTGGCGAAAGGATCGGGAAGAATTGCCGTCTCGAGAGTGCGTAATTCTGTGCGGAGATCACGAGACCGTCGAACAATATCGTTCTAGCGAGAAGTAACACAGTTTGCTCATTCATGAGGATCTTCTCGAAAGCGTGGAAACGATTCATCCTGACTATGCGATTTTCTCATTTTCAGACGAAATTCAAAGAAAAGGAAATTCAATGAAATAGCTACCGTCCGATCGCATTTGGCATTATTATATACAATAATTTCGTAAGCGTACAGGTGAATCAGTTCACAGAGATATCGTACCTCTTTATTGGGGCAATTTCTCGATGGCGACGAATCGTAGGTAAGATTTCTGAAAGAGCACCCTTAGCATTCAGCTGGATCATTCGGACAGAATATAGGTTGGGTGGGACGACCGCATGTGGATTTCTTCGTTTTGTGCCCAACGGATGACAATCGATAATTGTAAACTCGAACCTATATACTGTTGCTTAACAAAACGGACATTTGTCAAGTATATCGACGGACACTTCATTCCTCAAAAGAAGATATACCTACTCTGTTAGATTTCATACAACTATATAGACACGTCGGTTTATTTTGATATGCTCGAGAGTTTTGACTTCCAAAAGGTCAATCACCTGCCGTACATTTATATAGAAAAATATTTTACGCGGATGATTCTAAATGTACTTAACTTATTCGGAAATTTTATTTGCAAAATTCATATATTTGACATTTATTTGCGACAAATTGTTATTAGTTATTTATTACTATTAAAGAATACTGTCACAAGTAAATTTTAACAATTCATGCGTTAATTGTATTACAAAAACCAAGATTATTGATATATCATCAAGACTTACAAAATATGGCTGTAACGTCCATGATAACCGAATTTTAAGCCTGTAATTATTTTCTTTCCTTTTTTGCGATACACCAAATATGTTAAGCCTCTAATTATTTTTTTCTTTTCTCAAAGGATAAGAACCTAACGATCAGGCAGCTCCTGAAAAGACATCAAGTAACCTGCTGAGTTTCCCTACGAGAGTTGCCGGGTGCAACGAGCCACCTCAAGCCAGATCATTGTCATGTTCGCTGGTCTTTCAGGGGCAATAGCCGGCTCGTGGACGCCGCGCCAGTCTGATGCCGGGAGTTTTCGGCCCGGGCACATCCATAAGTAGAGACCTGCACGCTCACCGGCGGGTCATTCGTTATGGTTACTGCTCGTGGGTCGGCCCCAGTGAAATCTTTGTCCACCGCGCGATCCGATCGCCGATGTGATAAACATTAATGAGTATTGATGTTGGAACGCCGATCCAGACCGGTCATCGCGATATCGCGACCAATGAATCTCTTGCGACATAGTGATTTCTTCGCCCGATTCAATCGCCGGATGGTGCAATTAACCATCGCTTGCGAGGGAAACAATGTTATACATTTTTTTTATCATTTCATTATCCTTTATGTCGCGAAATAAATAGTTGCATTCGCTTGCATCTACGCATTAAACGCAAAATGGAGTTTAGCGTTTAGTTTATCGTATCACTATACTTTCAATGGATCTGTATATTCATTAGATATTAACGTTTTTCGTAGTTATTTTTTAATTTTTACAGAGATATGATCTCATCGCGAAAAATGAAAATCAAATGAATCTTTATAGGTACGTTGAAGAAATTTCCGAAGCACAGAGATTCTCTATCTTGTCTCACCGACGTTCATCAACTAAGCATCAGCTAAGAATGTTCATCTCGCTTCATCACCTTCTCCATTGCTAATCGACTTTGCTGCCTCCGGCCAACAGCGATTCGTATCGCGGGGGAGAATAATCGAGTGGCATTTTTACGCTGTTTGCAAACTGTATCGCCGGCGGGAGGTCGAAGGGCGCGGGCTAGGGGGAGGGAGGGTGTTTCAAGGGGGAGTCGGCGCTATCGTGACGAGTATCGATGCGAGCAGTCGAGTACGATAGAACTAGGGGTGCTTACGGCTTGCAATTCCACCCTCTGCGTACAATCCTCGTGCGATGGCACGTAAGTGTACATGTTCGTCTTAGTTGTGTATGTCATGTGTGACTCCCACACATGTCTACAGGTTGAGAGGGTGCATTGCCATTCGTTCGCTCTCGCAGCCGCGGTGAGGTAACGCGCAAGATGACGGTCGGCGAACATCAAAGCGACCGACATCTTTCAGAGACCGCCACCCCCCCTCTCTCTCTCTCACTCTCGATCCGCGAAGCTGGTTCTCTGCTTCTTCGCATCTCCCCCGCGACTGACGTCGTTTATCTCACTTCTCGTCTGAACCAACGACTCGACGAAACCCACCGCGCCGCGTATGTATCAGGCATTCATTTCAGTAACGAGCACGAGAGAGCGGAAAACGTGAAAGTGCGTGATAGGCAGCCACAGCGCATACCGGCTCTCTCTCTCTCTCTCTCTCTCTCTCGTTTATTTCTAGATTTCCCGCACTTCTCTCGCGTGTTTTCTTTTCTCCACACAAGTTCGTCAGAGATCCCTCTTCGCGATTCTTATCGCGTCAAAGAGCGGCATTATGCTTGTACGGCGACAACGTTCACAAACATCCGTCACGTATCTTCTGTAATTTCAAGATTTGTAACAACTTATATTAGATACTCTGACGAGATTATGCTTTAATTTATATTCTACGATTTGTCTTTTTTTGTCTCTTTTTCTCTCGTCAAAAACCGATATCTTTTTATTAAACAGCTAATAGCTCTTTTTTATTTCGGTTAAAATTCTGCGAAGCAGAAAAATATCGAATAAAAACCTGAAACACAACGATACAATGTATAGCTTTGTTTGCTAGGTCCTATTGTGGAGATTGCAAACAGAAGTTGCGGTAGAAGCGTTTTGCCCTAAATTTAGCCCTAGGTTAGCCTAGGTAGTATCGTGGTGATTTTAGCGAACCTACATCTTCCTTTGGACATAGGGAATTGGACGGCTTTTGTTGTCGTAGATCATCTTTCGCGGTGAAATTTTTCAAAATCAGATAGCAAGCTTTGAGGAACAGCCGCAAAAGATATATGATATTATTTGGCACTTTTCAGTCAGGTGGATTAGATTTAGGTGGAAAAAAGACAGAAAAAGGATTATAGGTATCCAAATATCCAAGTCTCTAAGGCTAATAATAAGGCTGGGAGAGTATCCGCATTGTAATATCAGCTTCGGCTCTCTTTCTATTCGTTTTCGCTACGAATCTGAAAAGCACTCCCGAAAATTATGTTAAAACGATTTCAAAAGACGAAACGCTTTATTACGTTCATCGGAAAGGATTTATCATTTAGGAAGGATTCTCACATCAATAAGGTATTGAAAAAGTCCTAAATGGACATAACTTTGTTTGCTTTCGGCTTGTTTCCTTTTGAAGTTTAAAATATGCGTATCGTAATTTAGATGTTTATATATACATATATAACACCTTTTTATATATGCAAACACACACACACACACACACAAATACATATGTACAGAATATACTATACATGAGAATGATTTTAAACTTTTATAATAATAAATAAAATAATGAAAATCAAGGGGCTTATTTGGAGTCAACAAATAAGCCCCTTGATCTTCATTATTTTATTAGTTATTATAAGGAGTCAAATATCTATTTCTCTTTACTCTTTATTTAAACTTTTATATTGATACCTGTCTATTATATTTAATCATAATTACTATAAGATTTCTACCCAGTCACATTTCAAGTCATTTCAATGTATAGTTTATGTGTTTTCTCTTTTTAAAGCATTTCCAATGCAGTTGATAGACTCTTCAAATTAATTTCCTTGATTTATACGTGCTTATTACTCCACTCCTGAGTCTAAAATAATTCCGATCAATCTGATATACGTTTCTCCAAGTGCATCCTATTATTCCTATAATTGCTAGAAAATTAATATTGTTATGACAAAAAGGAATGAGCTATATGATGAATATTATATTTACTACACTATATATTCATTTATTTAATTTTTATCAATTCTCTTATTTTATAAATACATATTTTTCTACGTTTCATGGGCATTATCTGTCGTTTATACCTCAAATTTAAGAGAATTTGAGATACGAGAGCATCAAAATGTTTCGTACATTATAATGGTCCGTTGACACGATGATGGATCGTCTACCTTGACCGGACAGGTAAATGTGCTTTCACACTAATACGCTGAAAGTGTATAATCGTTGCGGCACGCGGGTACACACTAACAAGGGTCAACAACTCCATCAAATCTCGAAGTCGTATAATATACCATTACAATCGTGTGCAAGCGATAAGTACGATAAACACATTGTTTTAAATAAAAACGTACAAAAAGAAATATGATGTATTCTTCTCAACAAATGTGATAATAAAATGTGATAAGTTAAAATAAAACTAAAAGGATTGCAGGGTTCTAATAAAAACTAAAAATATAAAACAGATTTAAAATTTTGTATAAAAAAGCTAAATGCGTATTTAAAAAAATAATATGTCACATTTCGTTTAATTTTTTCGAATAGTTTTTTAAATTTCTTTAAAATTTGAATTTCAGATGCAAGAATTACGACAATCAAGCAGTGTAATTTGTGGTCGGTTGTCATAATGCTTATAAAATTGATAGTCGTGGGCGTGTTACGAAATCCCCGCGTGCCAGATCGTTCGGACGAAGAAGGGTGAATCGCCACAATAAAAGGTCTTTGCACGAGCAGCTAGGAGTTAAGTCGTGGGTAATAATTACCGATCCCTCGTTAGCGTCATCAATAGACGGTTTCGCCCACCTGCCCACGTTATAATAATATAAGCCGCCTCTTTTGCGGTCGGTAGCCTTCGCACGTGCCGCCAGAACCTCCTTTATTCATTTTCTGCCCTTCATTTCTCACCCTTTTACGCCCCTGACTGAGAGCACTCTATCCGGATTCGTTTCCGAATATTTCCAATATTCGGGACTTAAAGAACTTTACTCGTCACATATATCGTGTAATGCATATTTAATCTAACAGTTTTAATTATAGTTCTTTGCATGAATATTATGAACCTGCACTGTTAAAAATTTCATGAAACTTAATATACTTTTAAGTTACACAATTCGAACTTATAATTTCATGACATTACATTAAATTTAATGTATTTATAATTGAAAAGTATATTTGTGTATATGTATATGAAATTTAATGTATTTTTCATGAAAATTTATGAAATTTAATGTACACATTCATTACATTTAAATAAATACACTGTTAAAAATGTCATGACATTTAATATACTTTTAAGTTACACAAATTAAATTCAATTTTATGATACTAAATTAAATTTAATGTGTCTATAATTGAAAAATATATTTGTGTACATGCACATGAAATTTAGTATATTTTTCAGTTTCAAAACTTAGGAAGTTTAGGAAGTTCAATAGATTTTTTATTAAATTTTATATAGATTTGCATGAAATTTAATATAAGTAAACGTTAAAATTAAGTTACTTAAGTTAACTTCATTTTCGTTGACAACATTAAATATATTTAATGTACATTATATGTAACGGAAGCAAATTTCTTATTTTTTAACAGTGTACCGTTAAAAAATAATTTAGTATATTATGTACAGTATATAATTTAATTTTCAGTTAAATCATTCATTAATTTCGTTCATAACCACGAATTTCATTTATATGTAAAGGAATCATTTTTAACAGTGCGTACAAATTTTGTTCTTTATATTCGCCATCGATTTTAAAGATTCTTTGATTATTTTTTTATAG